ACCTTTTTCGGGATTTCTAGCAAAGTGGCTACGCTGCATGTGTGCCAATTTCAATTGTGAATAAGTTGAAAGTGCGGAAGAATATAATTAAAGGCGGAAATATTTGTAATCTGAATGCACTCTGGCGGGAATTTATTCTTGCAACAAATTGTCAGTAAAATTTTAGCACAAGTTCGGCTGCCCACGAAGTACCACATACGGTTTTTTATCAAAGGCCTGGTTCACAAAATAAACCCAAATGCTTTATGTACGCAGTGCAATCTAGGCCAAATAGAAAGCCTCGAGCATCTGCTCTTCAAGTACCCAATTTATTATTTCTTTACGGACTACAACCTCGATCCTAGGATCACATCTAAAAGAGTTTGAAAGCAATCCAATGCATATATTCCAATTGACCGACCAATTTAAGGTCAGCATGGTGCACCTCTATGTTGTTCACTGTTTGCGATTCAGAGCCAACATATTAAATGAATAAATTGTGTAAACTAATGTAATTTTTTTAAATACTTTCACTTTCAGTATATTTTTCAATAATTATGTAATTCTCAAACATGTAAACACAATGTAACTATTAAAAGACCGCTAAAAACAAACAGTTCATAAGCAGGGTTAAATAAAATGAATGAATGAATAATAGCGAAAAAAATTATATACCTCTTTTTTTATATCAAACAATATTTAGAGGTCGATCAAAGCGCTCAAAGTTTTCCATGTATTTTATATGAGGAACAAACAAGTTTCCGTAGAAAGGTATAGAATTCTTGAAAGTCCTTATTTTTTGATTGGAAAACGTTGCTTCTATTTAAGAAACTCCCAATAAGAATACCCAATTGTTAATTTTACCATTTCAAATAATAGCGATTTTTTATGGGTCCCCCATTGCATTTTTTGAGGGTTTAGGGGTCTTATGTATAAGAAATAGTTAATAATATAAAATGGTTAAATAAACAATTGGGTAATATTATTAAAAATCTCCAAAAGAGAAACATAGTTTCCCGATAGAAAAATGTTGATTTTCGAAAATTCTATACCATTTCTACGAAAACATGTTTTTCCCATATAAAATACATGGAAAACTTTGAGTGCTTTGAGCGACCCCTAAATAGTTTTTGATTTCCAAACGAAAACAATTTTTTCGGTATAATACAATCATAGAGGGTGAGAGCATTTAAATTCCGACTTTACTTTTACTTTTATTTGGACCATCCCAATTTACATAATCAACTGCATTGATATAATCACTTTCTTGTTAATGCAAATAATGTATAAATTTATTAAATTGTTACAATTGTCTGAAAATAATAAAAAAGTTAACAAAATCGTGAGCTACTTTTTAGGTACATTTTACAGCAAAAAGGTACATTTCTATTGTAAAATTAGGTACAATTTGAAATTTCGATTTTCCATCCCTCATTTGAATGTACACATCTGAGTATGTACTATTGAATAAAATTTCTAGTCCCGTACTAGATCTTTATCGCCAAAAACAAAGCAGTCCGATAGTAACTAGATCCCCACCAGTTCAAAATCACCGAAATGTGGTACTTTTAAAAAACTATTTTATTGGACTTCTTCATTCGAAATATATCTATATCAAGGTGACGAATTTAGAACAGGTTCGCAACTATAGAAAAAGGGATGCAGAACGAACTAGATCTTATCTGTCGAATTTAGAAATAGTTCGGAACTATCGAAAAAGGGATGCAGAACGAACTAGATCTTATCTGCCGAATTTAGAACTAATTCGGAACTATCAAAAAAGGGATGCAGCGGGGGCATGTTTACTTTACATAGGTATGTGTTTGGCGGCTTTTTCGTTCAAATACGCTTCCATCCTGCACTTCCCAGATGCTTTTTCATATTTTGGTAATACAAAACAAAAATTTGTGTTAACATTTTAACATCTTGGGACCTTGTGGAATCTAACCAATAACTGCAAGCACCTCTGCAAACTCAGATATGGTATTTAAACCAAAGGTATGTTTCTTGCAGCCGGTTTCACCAGCAATTTAAATGAAAAATAATTTTTTTATTTTTTGTCAACTTCCATATAAAACTCAAAAAATATAAATCATTTTTCACTTAAATTGCGTTCGTGAAATTGGCTGTTACTATCATTCAAGCAAATTTAATTTCAAATTGAAAACACATCTTTGAAAATAATTTAAAAACGAACGAAAAATGACACTGAAGATAGCACAACGCCGAAACCGGTTTGTCTGCAAACCAAACTTGACAAGGGATGACGGAAATTCGTTCCAAAATAAATCATAATTTAAAATCGCCCACACGGAAGAACCAAAAAAGATTGAAAAATCATGATGCTTTTTTCTTTCGTCTGTCGAATTTAGAACTGGTTCGGGACTATAGAATTTAGGGCTAGTTCGAAACTATCGAAAAAGGGATGCGGGGGGGGAGGGGGAGGGGGCGGGTATTGACACTTCCTACGACATCGCCATGTTAAATTCGCCAGCAATGAGAACAGATGAAATAACTAACGGGACCAAGTCGAATGACAGCTAAAATTACAAGTGACGCGGAACTTTAAGTAAGACCGCTACCACCAAACGACACGGAAAAATTTTGATTTTCAGCGAGCATGCTCGTCGTTTGTAGCGTTGATGCTTGAAGTGTGCACATCGGCGGATAAATGCATCCAAGCCATGTTAGTTAATTGAATTTTTGATAAATGAGGCTAAATTACTATAAGTATATGTATGTACATACATACAAGTAAAATATAAATAAATTTTAGTAACACATACATAAAAAAGCTAAGTTAAAAGCATTGCAATCGCATCATCCGCGTCTTTGCTAATCATCTTTACGCTACCACGACAAAATCACATATGAGCCGCTCGCCGTCTGTAGCAAACGACAGCGAGCATGTTGGCGCAGTTTAAGCCAAGTGCTGTACAAATTTTATTTCCTGAACAAAAGAACTTTTAAAGATTGTGTAACTAAAATGATACGAATGTAGTTGCGCGACTTAAAGACTAAACTTTAAAGTAAATCAAATGTTGCAAATCGAAGACGAATAAATAAGGTGTGTAACTAAAACGTTAAAGCAAAGCAAATGTATACGGGTGCTTGTACTTAAAAACTAAATAAAAGTGTGCAGCTAAAGCCACAAAGTAAAACATACATATGTAATTAGAACATAAAGACTATTAAATACAACTTAAAGTAAACTAAATTTGAAACGAAAGGAGAGTGCTTTTATTTCAACGGAAGGGGGTGGGCTTTAGATTGGTTACCCCGGAGTACAGCATTAAGGAAAATATGGGAGGTAGAGGGGGTCTAATAGTTCCCTGTATGAAGTTTCAGAGCGCGCAACCTTATAGTTGTTAAGGAATTTGTTTTTAAAGTTTGTAATTTTAGCCAACTTGTATGGCACTATTTTACAATATATAATAATGCACTTTCCACTAAATTTACACGTTATTTACACTCACTATATGTGCAGTTAGAGTGTGCACGATCAAACAAATAAATACTTTTAGTATATTACAGCTTTTTATGAAAAATCGATTGTTGTTTAATTATTATAAGAGTACATGCCACATCTAAAAAAAACTAAGGGTGGAAAGTAAGACCAAAAGAAAATACGATTAAAAGGAAAATACGATAAGGTTCTTTTGTTCAGATAAAAATAAATAGTAGAGGGATTGGGGTCATATTCCCCCATAAAATATTGAAACACATTCTTAATGCTTGTATGTATATTTTATAGCGTCAATAAGTTTGACGAAAGGGTCCTGATGCTTACGACCAATTGTTTTGCGCCATAGATATTCTATAATTTTATCTATTTTATTTATAATTTTATATTTTATTATATACAAGACATTTTTATAAAACACCCAGTAACCATAAATAGACATCACTGGGGCGGCAGCCCCAGCTTTATCACACAGAAAGGGAATTCTAGTTACCTCTTCCTTTCCCAAGGCTACATCACTAGTGCACACCAAAAGGAGAATTCTATTTGGTAAAGGTTATAATCCTCAAGCTCAGCCGAAGGCCGCCTACGCAGAAAGGAATTCTACGCAAAAATATGACCCCAATCCCCCTACTATTTATTTTTATCTGAACAAAAGACCTTATCGTATTTTCCTTTTAATCGTATTTTCTTTCTACCCTTGGTTTTTTTAGATGTGGCAACACAGTCCTGCTGACATTTGCACATATTCTGCATGTACTCTCATACAGCTTTATTATGTATCTCGAACGATAGGCCGCATGAACGATTCGTCTGTAGGCGATATCGTCACGGATTGCAATTTTGTAACTCTGTCGTTCGTCTTTGTCTTGTCTTTACGTCGATTACGTTGCAATCGTCTCGGTTACGTTGTATGATGTTGCCGGATGAAATTTTGATGTACTTCCAAAGATTTTTTCTTAGATTTCTAATATTTTCAGCTTATATCAATGCTTTTTATTTTAAATGGGCAACATCGGTTTTGCTTAAAAGTGTTTTGGTTGTGTTGCAGATAGAAATATAAGGAAAATTAATTTTTAAAAATGTATGCTGCTAACGGACGCCGAGGAATCCGAAAAAAAGGGAAGGGCGGATACAGAGGAGGAGATTGCGAGACCACACCAATGTAATGGAACTACCTGAGACTGAGCAAGTTCAAGATTAGCAAAGATTTCTTGCAAATTTCCGAATCAATAAAGAAATATTCCAATACATATTAAACGAATTAAAAGAGCACATGGCTCCATCACATAGAAGCACCCACCTATCGCACAGCTGAATCTCGCGACTTTTTTAAGATTTCTGGCCACCGGCAGTTACCAAAAATCTGTTGGTAACGAAAATATTTCGTCGATGGGGCCCTATACTGCAGCCAACGTGATCAGGGAATGCCTAAATATTTTTGAGGACCATTTTCGCCAGAAATGGGTGAATTTTAGGAGAAACATCGATGAGGAAAATGCTGTTAAAGAATATTTCTTTGAGAAATACGGAATACCTGGGGTTATTGGTTGTCTTGATGGAACACACGTTCGTCTTAAGTCGCCAGGAAGTGACAACCACCATTTATACCTGAACCGCCAGGGTTTTTACAGTCTTAATGTAATGGCGGTAGGTTAATGATTTACTATCTTTACAAGTATACATATACACAAACTGAGTTTCCTTACAGATATGCGATCACAACATGGTAATCACATTTGTTGACGCTAGGCATCCAGGGGCGAATCATGATTCATTTGTTTGGAATGTGAGTCACGCAGAACAGGAGCTAAAATCTGATTATAACAATGGAAAAACCAACACATGGCTACTCGGTAAGTTTTAAAACTTAAAAAGGCTATAAAACAATTACTGACAATGAAAATTTTTGTAGGTGATTCTGGTTACCCCTTGCAGCCATACTTGATGACGCCATTCAGAAGCGCAGCCGATGAAATTCAACGAATTTACAACACAAAGCACTCGAAAGCTCGTAATGTAATTGAGAGATGTTTCGGTGTTTTGAAAAACCGATTTCGATGTATAATTGGCTCGAGAGGACTACATTATTCACCGGAAAAAGTTACACAAATTGTAAATGTGTGCTGTGCTATTCATAACGTTTGTATATTTTTCAAACATCAAATTCCATTGGAGAGCCCAGATATGGAGAATCTTGTTAGTTACGAAGAACTTGAAAACAGTAACATTTCGAATACAGCTGTCCTTATTAGAATGAGAATAGCAGAGAGTTTGTTATAAACGCAGTTTCATTATAAAGTATGTGTGTCTAGATTTCAGGTACACCAGCAAATTCATTTATGTCTTAAAATTAATAAAATATTTACATAAATTCAACAAAATATCTTTTCAGTCTTAAATCCTAAATCTACATATACACTAAGTAAATGCAACAAAATATTAATTCACACTTACATCTAAAAAATATTTACACAAAAAAAACACAAAATATCACTTCAATACAGTCACAATAGTGTTATGAAAATTAATTCCGGAAGTACTCCAAAATTTTTAAAAAAATTGCAGATTGGCGTTCGACTGCAGCAGTTAATTTGTTTGTGGCATCCACCTGCAGCATTGATGCCTCTGCCATTTTTTTGCAGCCTCAGCCTGCACTTTAGCGGCTTCTGCTTGGACTTTGGCAGATTCAGCCACTGTCTCTTGGAAGGTGCGCTTCCTATTAGTGGAACGTAACGTGTGCGTTGGTGTAGGGCGGGTTGTCTGAGTAGTGGGAGTCACTACTCCCACTGGTGGTGGTTGGTTGTGCCTTATAGGAGATTGAAGGGTTGTTTGTTGCCTTCGTTGGTCAAGTGTTGGCGATTCAGTCACAAGTAAAGGAGGCATTTCCTCCATCGACGAATGCCTTGATATGTTAGAGGTCGCCATCGAAGGAATGCCGAAAACTCTGCCGCTGCTGTCCTTGAAATAAAAACAAGGCTGTCTATGGCTTGCTCCATTTCGGAAAGCGGAGAGTGACGGAATGGGCCACCACCGGTAGCAGTAAGGCTTCGTGTATTTTCGGCAATCTTTTTTTTTGTCCGGCTTTTCAAGTCAGCCCATATCTTGAAAAAAAAAATTATATAAAATTCAATGTCAGTAAAATGGAAATAGTGTGCAAGCATTTATCTACCACATACAATTTATGCACATATGCTTACTTTCTTCCATTCGACGGCCGTTCGTGTAGGTGGACCATGAGAATTAATTTTCCTCATAATTTCCTCCCACCGCTCCTCTACCCTTCCTCGATCAGATCCAAACACTGCAACATCTCTGGCCAGGTCAGGATTTTTCTCCATTTCTTTTACCAGTACTTCAAATTGAGTGGTTGTAGTTTTTTTCAGCGCTACAAGCATAAATATTAATATATATTTCCTTAAACCAAGTAATATTTTTTATTTTCTTACTTTTCCTGCCAGAACCCTCCATCTTAACGATCACTAATAACCTTTCGTCTGTTTTCAACGATTGTCGTCTCACTTTCGTCTTCTATTCGCCTTAAAAAATTCCAAACTAGACGAAAACTACGTAACGATCAGCTGTTTTCGTGCTGCCAGACGATTTCGACTTACATACTACCAACGCACGAACGAAACGTCTGGCAAACGAAACGAACGTTCGCTTCGAGATACATGATTAGGCTGATAATAATTCAACAACAATAAATTTTTCATAAAAAGCTGTAATATACTAACAGTATTTATTTGTTTGATCGTGCACACTATCTGCACATATATTGAGTGTAAATAACGTGTAAATTTAGTGAAAAGTGCATTATATATTGTTAAATAGTCCCATACAAGTTGGTGAAAATTACAAACTTTAATAACAAATTACTTTAAAACTATAAGGTTCCGCGTTTTCAAACTTTACATAGGCCCCCTTTAGAATCCCCTCAACCCCCTCCCCCTATTTTCCTTAATTCCGTACTCGGGGGGGTTACCATTCTAAAATTCTCCCACGGAAGGACCCAGAACCCCACAAATTGGTGTCAGAAGTGTTGATTTTTACATAAATCAAATTGCAATGGTGCAGTAATAAACTAAAAACGATTTAATTTAAATCCAACCGCAAAAGTGCAGTGAAAAACTAAAAACGTTTTAAGAAAAACTGCAATAAAAAGTTTAAAAGAACCGTACCAAAAAGTCGCGTTAGAAGCACCTAAAAATCATGCGATGAAACCGTTATGAACAGAAGCACTCATATACAAAAAACTGTGAACTTTGTGGTTGTAGTCAAGTCAAACTGTGCACCTAGGCATGTACGAACCACTGTGATTTTTGTCGTTTCAATCAAGCCGTTAAGCTGTACCCCAATGTAAATGTGTACATAGAAACATAGAAACAGTTGTGTGGTCAAAAAAATTGAAGGTGGTAGCGGACATTTGTTGTTGCAAGACGGCCGGCAAGCGAAGAAGCTGACATTTAAAGGTAGCGGCACAGTTGTTGTGTCGCGGGCGAACAAGTTGAAGTAGCCCACCAAGAAATTCGTCGTTGCGCTGGAAGCGAAAAAGCCATATGTACTGGTGTGAACCCGAATTGAGGGGTAGATGCACGATGCAGCGAAACAAAGGTGGCGCCTTCCGCGGACCTCTAATCCTCTCTTTCTCGATTTCACAGCATCCACCCTTTCGCTGACGTCACATATTATTTCTTCGCAGTAGTGATGAATATTAAAGTTTCATATTTTACCTATTTGCCGAAAAGTTATACCTAAAAGTAGATACACGTACCTAAAGAGTAAACATGTATTTTCATGTGCATACATTTTTGATGGTTGGTAGAATACATCTTCCTTCTGTAGGTACTATATCTATATTTTATTTTTATAACTCCGAGTTTTAAAGTGAGGCGAAAAATATTTATCACATTTTTAAAACCCAAAACTTAAAACATCAAAACGGCTAAGCTTTTTATGCCAAACTTTTAATTCAGAAACTGACAACAGAGAAAAGAACGAGTTTAAAAAAAATCGATGACAAATAACCAAGCGAGCAAGAAGCACAAAAAGTGTTCCACCGTCTCATCTTCTTCAAGGCAAGATGGGCAAATGGACTTGTCATTTACGCCTATCACAGTAAGGTGTTTGTGCCACGTGAAGTGACCAGTCAGCAGTCCAGCAAGTTGTCTGAAGTGTCGTCTGCTCAGTGAGTGCAAAAAATTAGATGAACCTTGTGAGATTGAAGGCAACATGAGTTTTGCCCACCTCGATGCCTCTCAGTCATTTCTGAGCGAAGTATTCACCCAGTTTCTGATGGTGGCTTCGATTGCCGAAGGTGGGAGTGCTAAAACTGATTGCGGACCGAGGAATGCCTGGTCTGAGCCAACTCTGGCCAAATGATCAGATGTCTCATAACCAGGAACTCCATAGTGACCTGGCACCCAGAGTAAAACAACCTCGTTATGTTCACCATCATATTTTAGTCGAGACTTGCATTGCCGAACTAGTTTGGAAATACTTAAATAGAGCGCTGGTCAATGCCTTAAGTGCAGCTTGGTTGTCACTGCAGTCACGTAAACTCTTTCCCCTCCACCTATGTTTTACCACGTAGTCCATGGCTTTGAGTATTGCAATTACCTCAGCCTAGAAGACCGAAGCATATTCCCCTACAGAAAAGTGAAGCTTATCTCCATTAACCTCGAAAAAGACCCCCGATCTTGACCCAGAGTCAGTTTTGGAGCCATCAGTGAAGATTTGACAATGTGTGAGTCCGGTCTCAGCGATGGAATCACACCAGCATTCAGTCTCAGGGAACTCAACATTATAGAATCTCTTCAACAAAGGTAATGGTGGCGTACTATCCTGTTGCATTGAAAATACACAAGTGCCTAAATATCTGCCCCCAGCAATTTTCGCCGCGCCCCACTCATTGTCATACCAGCAGCCGGTTCTTTTTAGTCTGCGGGTGGTCTTTAAAGCTTCCCCACGTATGAAAACACAACTGACGGTAAGTGCAGCAGTGCGTCAAGAGCACTATACACCACCCAAAAATATTAAAGTTAAATAAAGAGGCTGTCAAGCAACCATTTTGGTTCTTTACATTGAAACCAGATACATTTTCGTGGACCCCCATTTACAACTCATGGACCCCCAAATTTTTTTCACGTCACCGTGGACCCCCGTCGAGTCTTCCGTGGACCCCTGGGGGTCCACCTGGACCACTTTGAGAATCACTGGGGTAGATGGAGTGTTGCTGTTAGTTGGTGCTGGCCTTTGGGTGTCGAAAAAAACAAGTTGCCGTATATTTAAATTTGTTGGAGAGTTGTGGTAGTTGCGGTTATTCCGAGGTGTTCTTGCTGAATTTTACGTATGCTGTTGTTGCGGAAAATTAGATAACGGACCGGTGGTTCTGATTAAGTCTTTAAACCAGAGGTGGGCAGCTTCAGCATTTTTGTAGTGTGCGTGCAATTGATGTCACTGTGTGCGTGCGAACAAGTCGTGCAGTTGAATGGAGCTTTCGCTGCCTTCTCAAGCAGAGCGTGTATGTATACGCGAATGCAACGCGCTGTCGCCCGCCGGGCCGACGCTGCCCAGCTGTGCTTTAATATTTAATTTTTAAATATTAATATTTAAATGCTGTATGTATCCTTAATATTAGTTTTAAGCATATTCATTAAAATATTAGAACAGTAAAGGAACTTTTGTAATTCGCGGTGGCACGAAATGAATAGGAGTGAATTTTTGGGTTTGACCGTAAGCGAGTTGAGAAGTTGGAGAACAAGGGCTTTCCACAGTGGGTCGAAAAGCGGCCCTGCAAGACAAGGTGCATTCTTTTGCAACCGAGCTACAAAAGAACACTCGCTTAAATGACGAAATACACGCAAAGCAACAACACAAACTCGGCTATTTATCGGAGTTCTGCCAGGTCGGTTAAAACATACGCGACCTGAAGGGTAGTGTTGTTAACTGAAAAAAACTGCTCTACTGTGAATTGTTAATTGGAAAATGGAGAGGGAAAATTTTGTTTCCTAATTTTAGTTTTCTAAATCCCGTTAAACTAATCACATGTTTCTTGCCACCTGCTAACAGGGTTGCTTAAGGAGCTAAAAGGAAATTTTAATATGTATCTGGCTAAGAATGTAGGCGAATTAAAAGAACAGATAACAAATCTGGCAACGTTCGTACTGTGCGGTCGTTTAAAACTCCCTCGAAGGAAATTCTAAAATCATCACTTCTACGAAGTGCTAAGCAGCTGTAATATTTGTTACCTATACGGGAAAAGTCTATTGACCCCAAGTTTCAATAAATTGAAGTAATTTATTCA